TTTAGTAGTTAATTAATTAATTAATAATTCATCAAAACAACTGCCGTTATTAATTTTTTTTTTTTTACTATAAACGGCAAATGACTTTCCTATATGCTTTTACGATGAGTGCATGTACACGTACACATCTTTCCGAATGTATAACACATCGCAGCGAAAAAAAATGGACGCTAATAAATGTATTAATGTAGGTAGATATACATGTAATGATATCCTTCAATATCTTCAGCAAGATCGATAGTTATTCGAATGATATTTTTTTAATCCAAAATTTCCATTAAAACTAATAGCATAATGCTAATGCAGGTAACAAATACACGCGGTAACTTTACGCACGGGTAATCAAAACCTAGTGTTTTGATTGATGAAACATGTATCTATTAAAACAGCTTTTTAACAGTAAATACAGGTTATTAGCTGCTTTTTTGAATTAAAGTAAAGCGTGATAATTAAGATAATTGAATGACAAGTACGACTCGTAATTACTGAATGACCATGTATTGTACGTATATATACCTATCGTTGTCTATTCTCAAATTTCCAAATAAAACATTGAGGTTTAATATCTAAAACTTATTCACTGTTTCTTGAATTCACGGATTTATTAACACCGTGAATATAGCTAATATTAACACCGCGAGTTATTTTCCCCCTATACAGTATATTTGTTCAGAGGGTCATTGATACGACCATTGAATTTACGAAATGCTGACTTTAAACGGGGTTGTTGAAAATCCTGTAACATCAACTTACACGTATCTGTCAGTAGTCTGCCTCGATTTAAAAATTAATCGTGCTCTTGGGTATCGAATAAGTTGGTAGACGTAAGCATCATATGCAAATGGTTGCGGAATATTACTACATAAATAAGGAAAGCTGACGATGAAAAAAGCTGAAGTCATCCCGTTTGTCAGACAATTTAGTTGTTAGTTTTTTTAGGTTTTTATCGAACGTCCGAATATGAAACAGACGTGGCAAACATACGCTAGATGGACATAACATTTCTGCATGTCTGAAATATATGCGATCGTATACTGTATATTCAATTTTATTTATAAACAGTGGTCTATGGGAATTTCTTTTCAAATATAGTAATAAAGAAGAATCCCAGTATTATGTACATTCAAGTCTGTTAACATGGTCGTCTAAGAATAGGATACATACATGTAAGAGGAATTTTTTTTTAAAAAATCCACTTTAAAACAGTGATACATTTGTCTCATCAACATGGAAACATTTCAATACAGTGTATATTGAAGCACATTAATGTTTTCAATTTATCATTAAATACAGACCATTTTATTGGCCTTCCAGGTGAACATAAGGATTTATATTCCCTACATTGAACTAAAAATAAATTGAAAACAATTCTGAAAAGTTATTTCACCTGCATCCGAATTCCACTCTAGTGGACATAATATTCAGGCACAAAGAATCAGATAAAAGGGAGGTATCCCCCCCCCCCCCCACACACACACTTTTTCTGAATGTAAATTCTAGCAATTTATAGTTTGAAAAAGTTCATTGAAAGTCTTGTAAACACCCCCTCTTTTTATACAGTATAGTTAAAAAAAACCTCTCCTACTTGAGTTGACAAGGTGAACATAACATTCAGGCGCTTAGAATCAGGGATGGGGTGTTCTCCCCCTTCCATTTTCATGAACGTATTTTTTTTTTAAATATTTTTTTCGCTTGAAAATGTTCATTGCAAGTCTGGTTGCCCTACCCCAAACATTTTGATAGAGTAGAGTAAAAGGAAATCCCCCTTACATCTATAAATTTTATGAGAGGTTCATCAAAGATATTTCTAAGGTAACTTGTCATTTTTGCCTCTTATAATGCCCTATTTCCCCTTTCGATGCCATGCCTGACATGCTCAGGTGAGCATTTTGGCCAACAGGTCTCTTGATTTATTATTTTTTTGCCCCCCTAAAAAATTCAACTTTAATGCACAAGGGGGCATTATTCTACGGGGGTCATTTTTCGTCACGTAGGGTATGCAGATTTTTAGGGTGATGACACTTTTTCTACGGGCAAAAGGGTAATTTTTTCGACTTCGAATAATGACCGGGGGTCATTTTTCGCCGTTGAATAATGACTGGGGGTCATTATTCGATGGCGAAAAATGACCCCCGGTCATTATTCTATGGGGGTCATTATTCGTCTTTACACCGGGTTGCTCAAATTAGTTAAATTTGACCATAGGTTGTGCTAAACAAAGGTCAACTTTCAGTTTGTGTTTGTGTTAAATTTATTGCTGATATAAGTTTTTTATTCCGCTTTCCTTCACAGTTAATTTTTAAAAATTCAAAGTTTTTTATGCCCCCGTCATGGAAGATTCTGGTTCAAATAGTTTTTAATCTGTCCGTCCGTCTGTTTATCTGTTTGTATCCCACACATTTTGATTGGTTGGAGCTACATGTATGGCTTTCATATTTCACCATTGTATTTCTTTGACAAGTCCTTTCCTTGGGTACCAATATATTTGACACCTTGACCTTGGAGTTTGGTCCACTTATGATTGGTGCTAGGGCTTTCATACTTCACGTGTGTATTTCTTGTGACAAGACCTTCCCTTGAGTACCAACAATTTTGACCTTGACCTTTGAGTATGACCTACTTTATTTAATTTTTAACCTTGGCCATAACTTTTGCATGGTTGGTGCTAGGGTTTTCATATTTCACATGCGTATTCCTTGTGACATGATCTTTCTTTTAGGTATCAACATTTTTTATCTCTTAACTTTGGCATTTGCGAAACTTTAGCCTTCACCATGAGCTGCCAGACGGGAAGGATCAGTGTTTAACAAACACATCGGACAAATAGACAGACGGACAGACAGAGCAAAAACTATATGCCCCTGAATCTTCGATTACGGGGGCATAAAAGTTATATTAAAATTCAATGCAAATCGAAAACATAATTTATACAGGTTTAAGACTAAGAAGGCCTACATGCAAACTGGCCACATTGACATAAAATCCTTAGAAAATGAAGTATTACTAAATACAAAACATACTAGTAGATAATGTATAATTCGCATACATGAATGAACGAATAATTGCTTCAGGAATTCAGTATACCAATTATATTTGCAGATGAACACGTAACAGATACTGTATTTTACAAATCCCGAATGGCCTGCGTTGCAGGGGTGAGTCTAAAAATTTCTGAAATGCAAAGTTTTAAGTTTGTGATAAAATATAATGTAAATAACATTTTAAAAGCAAAAGATATTTTCCACCTTAGATTTTTTTATAAGTATTTGTATATTGTTTTCGTCCCAAATCTGAAAGACATTGTGAGAAATGTGATATAGGGAGAAGGGGGATTTCTCGCTTTAAATTCAAAATGGTTCGTTTAAAAAATTCAAAATTATCAAAATTATTTTGGACACCAGCGTTTGTCAGACGAGTTCGATCACCAGTGACCAGATAGCTCAGTTGGTAGAGCACCTGACTGGAGCTTCGGGGGAGGGAGGACTCGAATTGCTGTCTGGTACGTCTCATTTTTCTCCTCTCCTGTTACATTTGGTGCAGTATCATGCCCTGGGAGTGACAGGTGAAAGAACGGCCAGGGAAGAGCCTGAGTTGGTGACTTTAGGGGCGAAGATCCTAAGGAGGGACGAATGTAGCGGTCAGACAAGTTCGATCAGCGGTGACCAGATAGCTGATAGTTGATAGAAAACCTGACAGGAGATTCAGTGTGCCGAATCCCTGTCTGGTCCGTCGCATATTTTCTGCTCTTCTGTTACACATTTAGCAATTTGGCAAGTTGATTAAACTGAATGAATGTAAAAATACGTAATTCAAAAACGATGAAATGAATTTTTCCCTATTTCTTTCTCAGAGTAGGATTTCCCTATTTTATCAATGCCCAAGCCATATCAACAATATTTTGGCTTAAAGTTTAAATGAACGTCAACTGATTTTTAATGAGTGTTTTCGACTCAAGAAATGTTAGAATTAAGTATGAAATCTAAAATATATGGTTCAAATCAATGAGTCTAAATCTAAAATGTTAACTCACAGGGAATTGTAAAAATTATTCACCGAAAAAATCGTACGATTCAGTGTCTCAAGCAGTACCTGTTTGTTCACGAATTTTAAAATGTGTATTAGTCCACCTTTAGAGATTTTTATTTGTTTGTCCTCTGCCTTCCCAGAATGTTGCGTATGGATCGGTGCTTTTTACAAAGATTGTGTTTGAAAATCCAAAATTTATACATTCATGTGTGTATCACTTAATTAAAGCTTTCATACAATTTTGTAACCGAGTAGTTCTTCAAAGAAAAAAAAAAGAAATACAAGAAACACTGCTCTTGAAAGCCGAAGCATAACGACAGGTATGTCCCCTCGACCCCAGCGGCATAATATTGGATTTGAAAGCAGAGAGTAAACAATTTAGTTCTGCAAAACTTAAATTTTTCAGATACTGGCCCGTTTTTAGTTCCATGACAAGGACAGTTTTTGGATATTTAAACTCCAGAAACTTGGAGAATCACATACACATCACTTTTATGTTCATGTAGTTTGAAATACAATGGGAAAAATCCATTTAAAATAAAAATCCCTCCTTTTTCAAACAAATTACAATGTACCATAATTTAAAAAAAATTAGTTTCACCAGATGAAAAGAATTCATTAATGCTTCAAAAGAATTTTATAAATACATAATCCTGAATCACTTGTGAAATGAATTCCATATCCAATTACACGAGACTTGATTCTCTATTTATAACGTTTCATTGATTTCCCTTTGACCCTATTAGGTATGTCGTAGCGGTTGTTATTTTCACACTGTGAAAATAACACTTCTTTTTCTAACTATGAAAATAACACGTCTTTGAAAATATTTTTTGCAATGGATAATTAAGGTATACCAGTGTTGAAAATTTATTATGTTTAAACCAAAAGACATTTGATAACAAAATTCCGTTGATAAAACAGTTTGTCGTGAGATAATGACATGACTTTCATGTAGTAATACCTCGCAAGAGAGATAAGATCTCCCATTCCAGTAATATACAGCCATCAGATATGAAGGGTCTTGTTCTCTGTGTACTGGCGCTCGCCTTAGTCTGTAAGTTCAACCACTTTTTTCCCCAAGAAAATGGATTTGTGTGAATTTCTTTGTCTCTTGTTATATTTGCTTTTTAATGTTAGCGATCGCTTCTTTGATACTATTTTCTTTTTTTTTTTATTTGATTATGACAAAAAATGTATAAAATACTGATACTGATTCGAACCAAGCTGTCAAAAAGTTATCTTTTCCTTATTTCAAGTATAAACTTGGAAATGATTGTATGGCAATTAGATTGGAGAAGACAAAATGAACATTTATTTATCTAAATGTCTATTTCGAGCATGTTCAATATTTAAAAATAACTGCCAAAACTACCTATGAAGTCGTCTATATGATATAATTATATAATGTTTTTTCAGTAAAAGCACATGCATTATTTTAGATTCATTGTATATTTGATATCAAAGATAACATGCTCTATGTTTCCTAAAGCTGTAATGTTAACATTTTATCACATACAACACAGAATTTGTTCTTCTTCATGAAATAATACTGGCTCGCAACTTATTCTGGGACAGACCTCTAAAATTTACAATTTTCAAATAATTTTCAATAACAAATCAGTTTTTCTGAAATCTGTTTTCATGTTATTGCAAGGAAGAAATCGTCCATTTTTTATGGTAGTATATCAGCACTGATTTAATTATAAGTGGGTCAGTTAATGCTTAGCCTAGCAGTTGCTTGTTGACAATACTGATACTTATTCTGATAATAATCTTTATACACATATTTATAAAATTCTGATGCTAGTGCTAGCAGGAGACTGATGCTAACGGTAAATGTATTAAATTTAGCGTATACGATAGTTTGCGGAAATGATTTTTATCAAGTTGGCGTGCATTTGTTTTAGCGCATTTCCAAGTGTGTTAGATTTAAATATTTAAATTGGACTTTTTCGAGAAGCACTGACTTTTACACTCGACGGCTTACTTTGACATTTAAACGTGTTTTTTATGGAGGTTCGGAATTGATATTAGATTAGAAAACCTTATTAGTGGTCATAGGTATGGTGTGAGGGGCACTAACATGATTTACTTGTATGCAATCAACACAAGAGACATTGGGAGGTAGAATAACATAACTTAAAATACCTTATTCGTGAGGGATAGTATTTCCTTTCAATCTCATTTTATGAAGGAATCAAATAAGGAAGAAAAAAACATTCCGAATGAAAACTTGGTAGTAGTTGGTCAAATGGGAAGGGAGGGGTTTAGTATAGGGTGTTTCTCCTTCCCCTCCCTAGACAACGTAATATGTGCTTCGAAATGCCCAATTATTATCGTTTGTTAAGCTAAATATTTATATCGCAAAAGAGCTGCCATATATTGTCCCAGTGTAAAAGTTAGCCGTCGATTATAAAAGTCAGTGCTTCTCGCAAAAGTCCATAAATTTAAGACATTTAGTTATGCAGTTGATTTATCTGATGTTACTTTCTGCTAAAAAGAATACGCATCCAAATGTTATTTCTTTACAGTATTTTGCTTATGCTGATTTATACATCAAAATTAGCTCCTTGTATTTAATCACGAAAGATCTCAGACTTAGATGACCTGTTTGTAGAATTTAAGAGAAGAAGTCACTCGAAACTGCTTTTAAGCTAATGATTAGATATTTTAGATATATACTTAACCTCTGTGCCAAAAAGGTAAATTCAAAGGCGTAAGCGAGGAGAGGGGGGGGGGGGAGGGGCTGAAGGAGACTTGGGAAATGAAGCTAACCAATTGAAATGTAATATGTTTTTCAAAAGGGGGCATAGTTTCCTTGTTTTGTTTTTTTTTATACAGATTTCTTATGTTCCATGTTTTTAAAGATTATTTTAATATATATATATATATATATATATATATATATATATATATATATATATATATATATATATATATATATATATATATATATATATATATATATATAGAAAACTCAAATCGAGGAAAAAAGCCAGAGTATTCATGAGAAAGTAATATTTGAACTCACTGATTAAATATTTTGACAGACTTGCAAAATATGCATAGATTATTTTTAGTCGACTCAATTCAAAATCTAACGTTTATAACGTAAAATATAAGTTTCTTCTTTTCAGCCACAAGCTACGCTTGTATCATAGCATCCGAGTGTTCGGGGTCATGTGACCTCTCCTCCAACCATTGGGCGTGTATCAATCACGCATGCGTGTGCAGACCAAACGCTGGGAACACGGGAGGTAAGATATGTGTTATTTGATTTAAACGAAAGTTCTTAAGAACAAAACAAGACCTTTGACAAGGAGACAGTTGCGACCACGTATAATTATTCCCAGGCCTATACACAACCGCCTTTCAGGAGTGTGATTAATTTGTATTTCAAGTTTACCGTGATTTTCTAGCACAATAATTTAGCAACATAAAATATGCTTGTTTATTCATTGCCCCGTAATCGAAGATTCAGAGGCATATAATTTTTGGTCCGTTTGTCTGTCTAGCTGTCTATTTGTCTACAAAAACTTTGAACAGTTGGTGCTAGGGCTTTCATATTCCTCAAGCCTATTCCTTTAACAAGACTTTCCTATGGGTACCAAAAATATTTGACCCCTTGACCTTGGAGTTTGCCATCTTTTGCATATTTTACCACACTTTAACCTTGGTCATAACTTTTAAACGGTCGGTTCTAAGGCTTTAATATTTCACGTGAGCATTCCTGACCTTGGGTACAAACATTTTTTTACCTCTCGACCTTGGAGTTTGATCTACATTTGAAAAACTCTGCCATATGAGGCATCAGTGCTTCACAAACACATTTTGTTTCACAAAGCAACTGTTACAGTTAATATGACCTGACTTTGACTTAGGCATTATGTTAATAAAACATCCCTTGCAGTTAGTCTTAAAATGTTTCCACCAGGAATTTTAAACAGATGCTTTACAGAATTTAGAACCAAGTGTTAGATTAAGCTATTACTGAAAAGGCCAATAATCGTTTAATAAGTTTTGTATATTGGAAGATTTTTTCATTATACCCACATGAAGTAAAAAATGGATACTTTTACATTAATTGTATATTCAAACGCTCCACTCATTTCGATTATGTGCATATTTTCCCATAAGATACTTTATGTATCATCACATACAGCAATTTAATTTTTTTTCTCTTGGGATCAAGATATCAATTTTAAGAGGGGGGAAGGAAAGAGAGAAAAAAATGGAACTTGATTTGAGCTAGGGTGTAAAAATATCTACCCTCTTCGAAGACTAGTGTATCTTGTAATAAATTGGTACTCAAGCTAAAATGACGTTACAAAAAAATCAATTACGTAATTTGCATTTTCAGTCCTTGCCAGATGTCAGGGTACTCTAAATAAACCTTTGCTAAAATGTTGATTTAAAACCCATTCCAAAGACTTGTATAATAGGCACATTGATGAACTGAAAGTACATATAAAATGGGTCTGTAATTTTTATGGCATCGTTATTGTTTAATTTCATTTAAATAATCCTTGAGTTGTGGCAATGATTATTAAGCTTGAATAATTTGGACATTAGTACAAATATAACTTATCAAAGTGCCATATTTAGATTTACTATAGTTTCCCTATAGACCTCAATTTAACTTTTGTTCTGCAAAAGAAATATAAGGTTCCTTAGCTTTTCATGTTGCCAAGACAAATGCTTGTCTGTAAAGGTGAATCCGTAAGGAAAGCCACGTATATTTTTTGGATATGCATATTGCAAGTTATTTTGTGTTTTCATTTTAATGATTCAGATAAGCTCTGACCATGTAAACTTTTTATAAAATTTTTGAAGATTGTCCGATTCATAATGAAAGCAATTAGACAAGAAATATTGCACAAAACTTCATAAAAAATTATATTTCCGATTATATTGAACATAAAATGATTCTTCATATGATATATTGATTGCTCTATTAATATCCACTCAAGTTGTATAATTCTAAATTCTACTTCTGGTTTAATTCATGGACATTTGATTAAAACATTTTGGTTTTTTTTTCAGATTGCACCGGAAAAGATGACTGCCGATCTTTCTGTGGAACCCACCACGAACATCATTATCATTGCATCGACGGCAGATGTAAATGTGGGGAACTGGACAATGACAAATAAAGAGTTAAAACTCTCATAGTTGACATATCTTTTACACCCGCACTCTCTAAAGAGAGTTTGGATATATTGTTGTTACATGTGCCCTGGTCCGTCCGTCACACTTTCTTCTTCCTCAAACTCCACTTTTATTTTAAGCAGTAACCAATGAATCTTTTGGAATATGGTAGTTGACGTACTGTAGATGTGCAATAGGTTTTGGAATTTTAAAAATTACCTCAGGGATAAAACGAGGGCCAAAAAATGCCATTTTTTAAAACAAAAACCAGGTTCCCAGAACTCCTCTTACATTTGAAGCAGTGGCTTATCTTTTGGATGATGATTGGTGTGTTACAACGTAATTAACACATTTCTAACACACTTTGAAAAAAAAATCAAAAGTGCGTTGATTTTGTCCCAGATTAAAAGCTCTTTGAAATTATTTTTCAAAATGCGTTGATTTTATCCCAATTTTAACGCACTTCGAATAAAAAATTTCAAAGTGCTTAATTTTTTCAAAGTGCATTGCTACATTGGTGGTGTCCTGTAGATGTGCAATGGGTTTCGGAATTTTCATTTTCCTCCTTGGGGTCAATTGGGGGTCGAAAATGACGTTTTTATATATATACATAAAAAAAATCTGGTTCCCAGAACTCCCCTTACATTTATGCAGAGCCTATTCATCTTTTGTAATATGATTGATTGGTGTCCTGTAAATGTGCAATAAGGTTTCGGGATTTTCATTTTCACCCTGGTGGTCAAATGGGGGTCGAAAAATGACGTTTTCTCTTCAAAAACACCCTGGTTCTCAGAACTCCCCTCACATTTTATGCAGAAGCTTTATCATCTTTTGGAAGATGATTGGTGGTGCCCTGTAGATGTGCAATAAGGTTTTGGAATTTTCATTTTCACCTTGGGGGTCAAATGGGAGTCGAAAAAGGATTTTTCCCCCCGAAAACACTCTGGTTCCCAGAACTCCTCTTACACTTTACGCAGTAGATTAATAATCTTTTGGAAGATGATTGGATGTGTCCTACAGATGTGCAATAAGATTTCGGAATTGTCATTTCCACCCTTGGGGTCGAAAAATGACATTTTTTCATAAAAAAGACCTTGGTTCCCAGAATTCCCCTTATATTTTATGAAGTAGCCTAACATCTTTTGGAAGATAATTGCTGGTGTCCTGTAGATGTGCAATAAGGTTTCGAAATTTTCATTTTCACCTTGGGGGGAAATAGGGGTTGAAAAATGACTGAATGTTTTTTTCTACACTTTTAATCATTCATGAAAATAAGATAAACACTGAATTATGTACATTATTAAAGCTGATTCTGCACAAAGTCATTGAAATCAAACCAAAACTATAGGGGGGATAGCGGTTTGAATGAATTTCACAAAAATATCGGAAATAACGGAAAAATCTGCGACAATTCAGTGTGTAAATAATGGCCTAACAATTCATATGAAAAAAGGCAGTCAGCATTTGACTTAATGATAGCTTGCATTTGCTGACATTGCTGTGATTGTATCGACCATAGAACTTACGAAATGATGACTTTAAACGAGACTGCTGATATTCTTGTTTCATCAACTTGTTTGTCAATAACTACCCTCGTTTTAGAAATTGTTCATACGTAGAGCATGCTCTGGCGTATCGAATCAACTGAGATATATAAATTCCGCATGCAGGTGATAAGGGTATATTGCTGCATAAGTAAGGGAAGTTGACGATTGAAAAGTTAAAGTCATCACGTTTATCATAAAGCTTTGGTGTTAGATTACCATTAAAGTCTTTTTCTAATAAAATATCCAAATATGAAACAGATATGTCAGACTCTGTGGTATCATTTATCTCAAAAGATTTTTGAAGATTTTTTCCTAAACATTTCCATGTAAAACTTTGACTTTGATCCCCTACCCATGGAGGTCATGATTTGGACAAATTAAACTTGAACTGTGTGATGAAGTTTCACATAAGTTAAAACTTTTTGTAGAAGCTCATGTATGATAATTACACAATGAGTGATATGTTTACGTGTCTTTCAAAGCTAACGCGCTTCATGAAATATGCAGGCGTGAAGCGTCGTAGTTCATGTCCTCATGAATTCTCAAAAATCAAATTCATCTCTTAAATAACCCATATTAAAATATGATTTGATATGTGAAAAGACTAGTGTTTCACGCTGTATAGTTTTCAGATTGATTCGGAAATTCAGAAGTAAAAGATCTCAGTCAAACTTGTCGAAATCTGTATGGGCACCAAAATATATCGATGCTGTGAGCAACATGATATCTGAAAATGCCAAATTTCCATTGATAGACTTTGCTAAAATACGAAACATTTCATTGTCATAACAGATCTGACAAATGAAATAAATCTAACAATAATTCTATCAGATGGGTGCCTTATTTCTTTACAAATGCCTAAGAGAAAGCACACTTTTGAATGTGCCAATGGCCTATTTAAAAATAATAATTTTTACAAAAAAGATCTGATAAACTTGAGTGATGGATGACAAAACATGAGTGTACTTTTTATAGCCGAAAAGGAAGATCAAGAATAAAATGTGGAATCAAAGAGAAAGCTGTCGTCCTATTATTGCGAAGAGAATCAAGGGCTCAAAATATGTTTTATTAATTTTCTTTTTATTCAAATTCAGGTCCAGTAAAACATGTACATATATCCAAAGGAAGGACTATCAATGGTAACTTTTATGTTAAATTTTCACTCCGGAATGTTAAGCAGATTTCCTGCAAATCAAGCCAAAATACTGGTCCCCAGAGTATTTTTCTGCACCTGAAAACGCTGCTGCAAATAAGCAGAGAAATAAATAAAATTTTGAAGAAAGGAAAGTTTACAGAGCTTCGGCATCCCCATATTCGCTAGATCTCAGCCATTGTGAGATCTTTTTCTTCCAAAAACACAGGAAAGCAATCAAAGGAAGATTTTACAATTTCAGGTATATCAAGGAAAGTGCTATTCATCAGTGCCTTTAGGGCATCCCTAAAGATGAGTATCCTGAGGTTTTTCTGGTCATCGGTACAAAGACTTTAGACATGTGTAAATGTTAACAGGGAATGCTTTGAGGGATTGAAAGTATTACGAATCTGCTTTACATGCTTTTCCTATTTTTAGATGACCTTTTGCATTATTTATTGATTAATTATTTATTAACGACCCTCGTATTCAAGCTATGGATCCATTATAGTGTTACATTATATTCAGGTGACCGTTAAGGCCCATAGGTCTCTTCTTTCAGATATGAATCAGTGCTGCATGATTATATAATTCAAACGATGAAAAAAACATCATCAGGAAATAAACTTTACATGATATCTTTATGTTCTAAAATTTCGATTTTCTAACGATAAAAGATTGAGGAGGAAACTTTAATCTGATTAAGGAGGAGAAGGACCTTGAGCTGAAAAAATGCTTGTCACTCAATTTTTTTTCATATTAGATATATTTCTAATTAAGTATTTCCCACATATCTTAAAGCAATTATATCATTAGGTTTCTTAACTTATTTTGGAGATATTGATTGACAAATACTATGCCCTACAGTATCTAAGTGGAGTTTTATTTCTCCATGTTTCCGGGCTCATTACTCAAAATGAGATTTTTAAGCATATTCAAAAAATATTTAAAGTGCATATGTATCTTTTAAAATATTTCATAGTATGAATAGGATTTAAAATTCGAAAAAGCAAGTTTCTTCTGTCACACTGCATCTGGATAGGGAAATTTACGCACTTTTTAATACAATTTAAACAATAAAAAACGTAATTTTACAAAAAATTCTATCATTCAATATTTTTTAATTTACGTTGAAATGTAAATCCTTCAAATTATTGATTAACTATAAAAATTTCGAATGGTGAAGCTAACCTCAATATTTTATGTACTTAATAATAACAATGTACTTAACAATTATGTACTTTATTTTTTAAGTGAAAAATTAAACTCTTAAATTCTTTTCTTTCTTTTTTTTTTTTTTTTTTTTTTTTGGTCTCAAATATTATTTCAGTTCTCTTCTTTCCCTTTTCATTTCCCTCATCACCTTTCATCGTCATTTAATCCTTTCCAGCCCAATTTTTTTTTTAAAGTAAAGCATTTCGATTTCTTCACGATAGATAAACGTGTTTTCAATTCTAATTTCATGAGAGATTGCACGCAGCACATGCAGGGTTAAGTCGATCCTTTAATAAACACTACGTACAAATTTTACTCCTTTTAGACCAGGGGACAAGCGATGACAAAGTGTTTTCCGGAAAGATCTCCTTAACACCGACTAGTTCGGTGACTAATATTATTTCATCTGCTTCCGGTGTCCACTAGCAAATATCCCGTCCTCTTGAAAACGGAAAGCGGCACTTTATTTAGCACAAACAATTACAAAGAACATGCCTAAAATATACATGTTAAACAAGTACATTGTAATTTAGAAATTATCTTGGCCCTTCGTAGAATAATATCAATAGATGGATAAATATTGAGTTCATATCATAGAAGTCAAATTTCTGATCGAGGTGTCGATCTTCATCAAACAGAAAGAATTAGATTAATATTCTTGTCCTTCCTTCAAGTTTATTCTTATGAGCTATCTGTTGAATCTGGTAGATACAATGGTATTAGATAAAGAGAGATCAGTACAATTCAAACATAAAAACAAAATATCAAAGTATGAAAACTTTAAAAGTTAAGACTTAAATTATCAGTATACAATTTATAAGTAAAACTAGCGATTTCTACTTAACTGTCTTTGAAAAAAAGAATCCTTGGAAAGTATGACAGGTACCCTTTGTAAAAATGAACTATAATTGATAAATTCAATGTGACAAATTTTCTAAAAGGGCAAAGAAAGAATGTTTAGTGCATCTTAAAAACCTTAAATAATAGGTACAGGTTTTTCAACCCATGTTCATTCTTGTACTTTATTGCATTATTCCTAATCTTGTACAAAGTGTACTCAAATTGTGTTGGAAATATTAGAATCTGCAGTTTTTGATTTATCAGTTTAATTATGCCTTAACATTATTTTCTAAACACGTGTAACTTTGATGAACAGAGATAGCATCTTAAAAAATTGACTTGATTAATCTTAAGGTAAAATATTCTATGATTTATAAATATACAGCCCAACATTCAAATTGGTAAATGTAATTATGAAATGCACTCAAAAAAATAGCGATTTTTTTCCCAACTAAAATATAAAACTTGGAAGAACCTTTCACATGATTAGACCATATCATATGAGAACTTGTCACGATAAAGCGATTGCATTCCCTTTGTCATTTAGCTACGACCATTATTATGTGAGATTACTTTTATTTTGCTGACTGAATTTCCTAGTAAATATTGATTTTAGTATGTTAGTGGGTTGTATGGAAGTTTTTCCTGTTATAATGATACGTATTGGCTATTTTGTGCAACGACTTCCAGAATTTCGGAGCGAATACCAGTGGCCTGAGACCAACGGTGTAAATGTAATTTTTTATGTACACGACGTCCTTAAAAATAAAGCTTTTATGTCAATTGTTAAAAACCCATAATCTATTAATATATTAAATGTATGCTCCAACACGCATCAAAATTGCTTTTTTTTAGCCTTAAAGTTAATTTTTCGTCCAAACATGATTTTATTGAATTAAAAACGTGTTCTTAATTTAAAAAGAAACACAAAACAAAAATAAACAAATAAATGAAACATAAACCCTTTCTGTAGTTAAAATGCTTTAGAGCTGCATAAATATATTGTCAAACATTTGATACTACAATAGTAAGTATTGTTCTGTTGAAAACTTATAGTTATGAGTATATTCTTTCGACCCTTAGAGTCTGCTTTTTGTATTAAGGGTATTTTCTTACAAGAATATTTGACGAAAATATATATATAGGATGCTGGATCCCTCATTGACAATGTTTATGTAGTCTCCGGAGAGAAGGTCTTCCAACAAAATGTTGCTGTGGACTTCATCTCGACATTTAGATATATCAATTAGTCAAGTCACTTCCATTCAGATGTCGACTCGACATATCCCATTGAACATGAAATAAAAGACACCACAGAGTCTGCCACATCTGTTTCATATTTGGATGTTTTACTGACTATAGATGATAAGGGCCAACTTACAAAGCGATGACTTCAGCTTTTTCAAAGTCAATTTTCCTTATTCATGTGGTAGTATTCCACTAGCACTACATATGGGTTTTCGTCTCCCAACTTATTCAAGACTCAGGAGTATGCTCTGAGTACGATTAAACGCTTTAATATCGCGGATGTTTTTTTTTTTTTTTAATAAAAGGTTTATTCTGCATTATTGTTTGGATTTTCAATATGGAATATGTGCTAGAAGAAAAATATATGAAAGATGACAAATAGAAATAACCTTGGAATTCGGGGATGGGGGTTGGATGGGGGTGTTCCTGTCCACTAAAACGAGAATATTGAGTGATGGGTTCGCAGTTTAGTTTAGTGTAAACGGGTTTCTTCATTGAATTATTCGCTTTGCGAAAACCTAGCATTTGAAAAGAACGCCTTATATTGATCTAAGTGGTGACTGAAAAATTAACATTTCAATCACTGTTAAAGTACTTTGGACACTGAATAACAAATAACTTCATTGACAAATAAATAAAAATCCCAACAATACATATACATCATTATAGTAATTTAAGGAATATATACCTATAAATCGCATTTTGTCGTTACTGAAGAAATATATTTTGTTACAACCTTTTCTACAAGGTAATACGATACACATGTAGCTATCCTTAAATTCTGTCTTTTTGGATATGTAACAAATAAATTTCATAGGAGAAAATTTATATATACTTTCTGTTTCAAATGAGCAAGTGTGTTCTGTTGTCTGAAATAGAATTTCTATATACAGCTCTAAAAGTTGCTGCAGAGATTTTACTTCCTTTCAGATTTTATATTCTTTAACTTAACTTTTAAATGCATGTAAAGTAGATGTTAATTATTTCTGTGAAAATCGTAAGAATGCTTGATCGTGCAGAGGAAATGTTCATCGAACGGAATTATAAATTTAAGAATTCAAATTAAAAATAGATTAGGTATTTCTTGTTTATAATTGATTTCTGTTGTGGAATAAGATTTGAAATACTGAATGTTCAAATAACTAAAAAATGTGACGTTCGGAAGAATTCCCAAGTCTAACTTTTAAAGAAAGCAGTGACATTTGCATCGAGCTATCCTACAATAACTGTAATAAAAACAAGCGGAGCTTCCCCGGGAGCAAGAGTACACCCATCCTGAAATAAATTATTACTTATATATCTTCCATTACGCTCGCACGCACTCACCCCCCCCCCCCCCCCCCCCACACACACACAAGCGCTTTTCTATACCCCCCCCCCCCCACCAACTTCGTTTCGAGGGATAAAACCCCAAATATGTTTGTGTCTTTAGGTTTATTGCTCGATATTTAACAAACATTAATGAGAAATAAGATTGATATGACAACAATAATGAACGTTACACTGTCTGAGATTTCCATTTAGAAGGAAGTTTAAATACTTTGCTATACAATAAATTACATTCCTTGCGGAATCTATCGTCTACAAAACAATACACTAAAGGGTTTGTTACATTGCTCAAGAAATATCCGCGCAGAAGAACTGGTGTGAACATTCCGAGACTACGTGCCAGGTTTTCGTAAGCCGAGGGTTGCGCTGCCCGTATGACGAGAATGATGAGGTTTGGTAGGTATCCAACATAAGACACAGCAGTGGCTATGAGAAACATCAGAGTGATCCTTCTGGTTCGATCCAACCTGGCTTTCCCTTTTATCATAGGCTTACTGGAAGGTTTGTCAACAGTATTCAGAGTTATTTTGTTTTTATTGGAATAGACACTGGATTCTTCGTCTTGAATGTGGTGAGAACTGCTACCCTCGGGTTTCATAGACACCATTTTTAGGTGGACAGACGAGGCACTCACTTTGTTTTCGCTACTGACGGAGTTTCCGCTCAAGGTTTTCTTTACATTTTTAAGCTGAGCCGATTGACGGAAGGTCATTTGTTTGTACAAACTCTTACCAACGAAAGAATATGCAACGATACATAAAATGAAAATAGCAGTACTTATAAGTAACAGAAGAAGGGAATAGATCCGGAAAAAAGATTGCTGTCCTTCACTTGAGCCCGTTGTACAATCCGTGCCCGAGAGTCCTGGAATGTCAGTGGATTTTTCCGCTACATCGTACAAATAAAAAGAAGAAATTGCCAAAAGAATGGACACACCAACAGTGACCATACATGCGATGGCTGCTTCTTTCTCGGATATTTGTCTTCCAAATGGACAGCATGCCTTTCTATATCGTTCTATGGCTATAACTCCCAACATGAGTCCTGAAGCAATACTGACTACGTGGTTAATGAACCGGAAACACTTGCAAGCAGCACCAGAGTCAAACGTGTACCCATGGCGAATATCCACAATTTCAAATGGAGCACTGACTGCACATGCAACAAAATCAATGGCGGCTAACCAGACCACAAAAGTTCTGTGGTTTGAGGGTTTATATCTTACATGATACACAATAAAAGCATGACCGTTCCCAATGGTTCCCACAAAACACAACAGAATCAGGTAAACTACAACAGCTATGTCATCGTGAAGAAATTCTTGAAATTCGTATTGTTCAATGGTCAAGGCTAACTCGGTTGAGTTGCTTAGAGTTTTGTTAAGTATAGAGTCCATCCTAGAGTCATTCCCTAGTCAATTCTGACGCCGTGTCGGCTTGGTGAGGCTTAATAATGATTCGAGTGATTTCATTTTCCGGTAGATTTCCAGTGTAGGAAATTCGCTCTTGATGATTTAGGACCCGCATATTTCTTACTACCACTATATAATACACTGAACTATCGCTATATCCATGACTAAATGACTAACAAGTGCGTTCTTAAATAATCGTATATACATACTTGACATTGAAAGAATATAAAATTCTCATAGATTTGTAAACAATATATCCACTGTGATTTTCTGAAATTGTCTATTGCTCCTTAAAATGCAGAAAATATTTAATGTCTCTGAAGCACGATTTGAGGTTGCATATTATTATGTAATTATATTTTGAACAAAACTTAAAGAATAGAAAAAGAAGGGACGGAGAGGAGGGGCAAAACAAACAAAACATGAGAAAAACCGCATATTTCAAGTTAAAAGTCTTTAAGATTTATATTTTTTATATTGTCTATAGGTCAACATTATCATTCAAAGTTAATTTTTTTATTGATGGATATATCCACAAAGTAAAGATTCAACATTTTAAAGTCTTTTAGTGTGAAAAAAACCCCAAACAGATTATTATGTCAAATCTAAAGGTAATGATATGCGCGTGTCATTGCAAAGCTTTGGAAAAACACGAAGAAATCAAAGTACCGAAAGTACTGAATTGTTTTGTTTGCTTGTTTGTTGTTTAACGTCCCTCTCGAGAATTTTTCACTCATATGGAGACGCCACCACTTGCCGATGGAGGGCTGCAAATTTATGTCTATAGTGAGGGCCATTGAGCGGTGAGGAATCGATTTTCGTGCAAACACCTTCTGCGACACGGGACCTTGGTTTATTCGGTCTCATCCGAAGGACCGGTCTCCACGTCCCGCAGGGAATTCGAACCCGAAGTACTGAATTGAGGTCACATCATTGGTAAATGATGTTAAGGGCATCGCTATCCTTCTCAGATTGAATTACAAATGCAAAAAGGTTGTTCAAACAAATGAGAATACAACATTTGAATGAATACACAGCAATTAGAAATGCTCCATTTCTGACTTTTCTGTAATCAAAGTTGACGATAGAAAGTTCAAGGGATCAAAAGAAGTGGCTACTGTTGTTGAATAAAGAAATTTGGTGCCAGTGCATTAAATTGCATAGGATTTGGGTTGTTATGCATCAATTAGCACCATCGGTCGAATTGAACTTGGATGAGATTGATTCTGGTGTCAACGAACCAATTATTAGTGTAACTTCTGTAACTATTAAGAAGTTTGTTTCTCTTCCAGTAAGTCAGAATTTGGATGGAACGTTCCTATTTCCACCGTAGTTTGATTGTACATGTATGTGAAGATAACGAATAGTAATCATAATTAAAAGACCTATTAAACAATACAAATTGAGAGAAAACTGGACTTCTGAAAACATCAGAAGTTGGATCAGGTGCCAAGGAGGAGTAAGCATTCCCTGTCCATTGGTCAAACCCACCGTAAACGGAGTAAACTGCCGAACATTCAGTATGAAAATAAGGGTACCACAAAGGACACCACTTACAACACACTCAACACTCACATCAAAACAAAAGCAAACGACTGCTTGTAAAAGGCAATATCATACCAAATTCTTATCGACTGCTTTTGATTTCTGACATCAATAAATAATATAAAACTTTACAATTAACTGATCGCTATTATAGCAATCACAAAACACATTTTAATTATTGGAAAGAATGCAATTCAATAAATCAAATGAAAGAGAAATAACATTTTCAATAGGGTCATTTTATTCACAGAGCTTGATATGGGTCGCAGAGTAAGACTATAAAAATATGGCTATGATACCGTATAAATAAAGAGTATACATTGCTAGGAGGACTGGGCTTGGATTAAGAGAGGTCCAGCTACTATAATTTTCTTCGAGAATGCCCCTTAATAGGGAATATTGATGTTTCCGAACCAAATCTTCAAAAGTCCTCGAAATTTGAACAGTATATTACCAAGGATCGTATCTTAGAATGTACACTTAGAGACAAAGCAAAGTTGTCAATTCCTTTTCAGAATTTTTTGTACACGTACTAAGTAAAGTACATCCTTTGTAGAAACTGCAATGTTTCCAAGTCAGATCTTTAAAGATAAAAATCTTATTTACCGGAATGCTAGATGTACCTTTTTGATCTTTCTCCAAAAGTAGAGATATAACACCATTGTTACGTAAAATTTGCAATTTTTACCTCATTCTGTAAGTTCTACGAAATTTTATCATAAATTTTATATGGAATGCTTAAACGATTAAGGGATTAAAATGACATCAGAAGGAGGGAGGGATGTATTTACCTCCATTTTATAAAGTTTCACCCCGACAAAAACTTACATAAGCCTGGGAAATATTTAAACAGGCTACAGAGAAATAAAATGCATCCAGAGTATATGTTTTTAAATGTCGAAAAAGATTCAGAGAGAGCAAAAGAAGATTTGTAGTTCGGGTGTCCAAAGTCAGTCACGTCGAAAGTGATCTTGCTCATGTGCGGTAGATATTGAACTCCGACAAGCAAATTATGCTTGCAAAATCAAGGAGGGATTTTCCCCCCTATATATAGATCCATTTACAATATTATGCATTGAAATTAGCTGTTCATGATATTATAAAGGAATAAAAACATAACGGATTTCGGTCTATACTTAATTCCAGGGAATCTCATCCAGAAAATTGTATTTAGGAAGAGAGAGCGGGAATTTGGAGGTATTCAAATAAAGATCATACCCTTTTCTTGAGTTAATTTTGTCTCATTTTTATTGATATATTATTTTCAAGTCAACCTGATCATTAAAACTACTTTTTGTACTATACAACAAAAATTCGTCATAATTTAATTATTCTATTAACCTTTTAAATACATTATTTACAGTGATTAGTTATCAAAAGCGAAATGCAAAAGGAAACTGAGAGTATTGCGTACCGGCAAGTGTAATCTGGTTCCCGCTAAAAATTGAAAATGCCATAATTCCGTCAAAACTCAATAAAGTGGAATGAAATGCAAACTTGATCTATAACTCATCAAGGTAAAGTCACTTACCAAAAATCAGCTAAATACCTGCAAGCGTTTAGAAAAAAAATTGCGGAAAACCCAAAATTTGAAAAGGTTGTAATTCCGCCAAAAATCATTGAAGCGGAATGAATTGTAAACTTGATCTGTAACTTATCAAGATAAACTCACATACCAAAAATCAGCTCAATATCTGCAAGCGTTTAGAAAAAAAGCGCGGAAAACCAAGTGGGACAGACTGACAGACAGACAGAGGGACAGACAGTCGGACGGACAGACGGACGGACAGACTCAGAGGAAACCTATAGTCCCCTCCGGTTTCACCGGTAGGGGACTAATAACTTCTCTCAGTAGAATACAAATTAATAGAGCCCTGGCCAGGACCAGAACACTTGACAAAATGGTCCTGATGTTCAAAAATCTGGTAAGAGTATCCTTGCTTATTAAAACTTTCATGCTGTTTGCCTCCGATAAGCCCAGGAGCAGAGAAAATTTACAAAGAAACAAGCATTCTGAGAGTATTGCATTAGCAATACTAGTCCCCTACCGGCAAGTGTAATCTGGTTCCCGTTAAGAATTGAAAATGCCATAATTCTGTCAAAAATCAATGAAGTGAAACGGAATGCAAACTTGATCTCTAACTAATTAAAGTAAAGTCACATACCAAAAATCAGCTCAATATCTGAAAGCGTTTAGAGGAAAATTGCGGAAAACCCTTAAAAATTGAAAAGGCCGTTATTCCGTCAAAAATCAATGAAGTGGAACGAAATGCAAAGTTGATCTGTAACTTTTCAAGATACACTCACATACCAAAATTCAGCTCAATATCTGCAAGCGTTTAGGAAAAAAGTGCGGAAAACCAATTGGGACAGACTGACAGACAGACAGAGGGACAGACGGACAGACAGACAGACAGACAGACGGACGGACGGACAGACTCAGAGGAAACCTATAGCCCCCTCCGGTTTCACCGGTAGGGGACTAATAATGCATTTTCACTGCAGATTCAACACAGCCCTAGCCTTACACCAGAACCCATTGCCCAATATCATGAAATTCACAAATTTGGATGAGGTATACCCTAATCATCATAACTATACTCTTAGTTGAAGATTTTCAAAGAATTTACACAATTTCACTATATTATCAATAGACCCCCCCCCCCACCCCCCGAAAACAAAAACCCCTGACACTGGGACCACATGTTTTAAAATTTTGTAGGAAGTCGTGCTCATCACTGCTCATCATAACTGTGCACTTAGTGTATCTGCTCAACACCAAGGAGTAGACAGGATTATTTAATAGCTTTAATGCATTTTCACTATATTATCAAAGAGTCCCACCCTTACACCTGAACATCTGACCCAGGGGCCATACTCGCGCTTCTGAAAGAAGCAATCTTGTTCATCATAACTATACACTTATTTTCTATACTTTATAACCAGGAGCAGAAAAGAATTTTTTTCAAAGAAATTATGCTTTTTCACTATAAAATCAGTAGACGTCGTCTCTTTTTACAGAACCCCCGACACCGAGGCCACAAATTTTACAATTTTGAAGAAGCACTCTTGCTTATCATAACCATGCACTTTGTTTTAATAATTATTCAAAGATTTTCAAAGAAATAATGCATTTTCACTACAGTGTATGTTATCAATAGAGTCCAGCCCTAACACCAGAACCCCTGACCCAGGCGTCATAAATTCACAATTTTGGAAGAAGCACCATTGTTCATCATAACTATGTACTTAGTTCGTCTGTTTAATGCCCAGGGACAGAAAGATTTTCAAAGGATTAATGAAATTTTACCATATAATCAATCATAAAGCCCCGCCCTATCACCAGAGCACCTGACTCAGGGGCCATGAAATGCACAATATTGGAAGAGGTATCCTTGCACACCATATACCGGGCACTTCCGTCCCAGCTGGTGCACATCAACAAAATTTACCCTAGATGCGGGTGATTTAATCGAAATATTTACAAATCGGGGGCACATAAAAATTAAGTGGAAATATGAAAAGGAAGAAGAATGTATAACGAATTTATTGATATTTA